ATACAATATAATGTAATTGAAAAATGTCCTAATTTTTGAAATTGCATGCAGTAATATGTATAATTGCTTGCTGCTAAGGAAGTGTCCATCACTAATTTATTGAGACTTTTTATTTTACATTGTAATTCAACTTTAAAACCTAAATTCCTAAATGAAGAGTTACTTTTGGTTATACTACAGTTACGGCTGGTAGTAAAATCGTGACATGTAATTATGGAAAAAGATTTTTAAGATTTTACCTCTAATGGATGATTTGATCCTTCAGAGATTTATGCTAGGGAAACAAAGAATATTGGGCTTATGATAGTCAAGCATCGTAAAAACAAAAATACAAAATAAATTAATTAATACCCAGTCCGAAACACACGCACCAAACAAACTTTAAAAATACACAACCCTTTAAAAATTACTTTCCAAACATAAAGCGCTAGTGCGTATATCGGCATTACTTAGAGGCAGTTTATCGCGATCGAAATGCAGAACAATACGGTGCGACCAAAAAGAAGGCGCGAACGAAATGATCCCTTCTCTTTGGTGCTCGAGAAAAGTCTTATTTCTTCACCGGAATATAGTTTTAGATAGCCAATAAATTGTAGGGTACAAATACATCGTCACTTCTCCAAAGCTCCGCAAGCGTTTTCCGTTGTTTTCATGCACAAGGAAATCGCGGGCGTGTGTTGTCGTAAACAAGAGGTTAACTTTTGATATGTCGATATCATGTCATGAGCACACTTCAGTAATTATTTAATCACAATCTGTTTACTAAAGAACTAGGTCTAGAGGGAGTTTGCTGTCTCTTATACACATCTAGATGTGTATAAGAGACATCTATCTACCGCGGTAGACTTGTATGCAATGTGATATGCAAATTTTCTGCATATACAGCCTTGTGTCTACCGCGGTGCGGTAGATTAAGGCTTACCGCGGTAGGATAATTTGGCGACGCTCCCTTAGCACAGCACACATTACTCTGTTAATGTACAAAAAGTGCTATTTCGAAAGGACATGTCATATATATATATATAATTGCTCACTGTTCAGGAACTTTTGGAGTGCCCATCACCAAACTTATAGGGAAGCTTCTTTACATCATTAGGTATCTCTAACATGAATTTCAAAAAAAAAAAAAGATATATATTTTTTTTATTCAACTTTGAACTTTACAACCTGTCATAACTTTTTTATATTTGAATTGAGGACTTTTATTAATTTATTAATAAAGTTATAGAGCTACTCAATAGCTTTAAAATGACACCAAAATCAGCTCTGTAGGTGCCATACTTTTCGAGATATGGTCGGTTAAACACGCAAGGTATCGCTAATTAGCCAAAAGTTCGTT